GAACGACTGTGAACTCTCTTTTATCCACTGCAGTGGTTACCTCCTCGACCAACTCCATTACTGCCATGGATGTAGATCTTTTTGATCTTTTTGATTCTGGCCTCGCTCTTCTGCTCCCGCTCCCCCCACTCACGAAGCTATCGCCCCCCACTACCCCCCTCCCACTCAGCCTGTGCTCATGTGTTTACGGAGCTAACGTCTCACAATATGGATCGCACATTTGCACGTGGATGGCGTGACCATAGAATGATAGAACCAGGAAGCGCAGAGGAACGAGACTTTCTTTTGGATGTTTCTCTGAGTAAGCAGTAACGGGTAACTAAGACACGGGAAGTTTCAGGTTAGCTTCCGCCGCTTGTTTACCTCAGCTGTCTGTGCTAACAAGAGACCTGTAGATTTTCTCAAGAAAGTGGGGGCCAGTGGTCCGCTGTGATTGGTCACAATCTGGACCCAAAACACATTCTCTTCCTTGTTGCATTAAAACTCGATCTAAAATAAAATGACACGCCAGCACAAATCTCCACTACTTTTTCTTCAAAAGGACGTATATCCCAATGCATTGCATGGATATGGGTTGAATTTTCGTAATGAATACAAAAAATAAAGTGAGGTAATGCAGCTTTAAGTTTAAGTCAATCTGTGCAAGTTGGCCTTGCACAGATTGACAAGTGATATAACCACACATCTCTCCATCTGAAACCTTGTTGTCTTCACTTTGTTTGCTTGAGACGCTTCAAAGCAATTAGCAAAAATGACCATGCTCCTTAATGGAAGTCCACAGCGTTTATACGGTAACAGAAAAAAATTGCTCTAGCGCCTGGCCAGTAGTGGCCAGACGTGAAAGAATGCACCAACATAATTCTGCATTTAACAGTAGCTGTGAAAACTAGAGCTTTGCGCGGTTTTGTTTGAACGGACAAATAAAATTCTCTGCGTAGAGCTCAAAGCACACGTAGCATTAGTGTACGCGTGGCCATTGTTGTTTACGCTTGTTCTCGGGTATGTCCAAATGTACGTGTGGGGAGGTGGAGGTCATAGCAGGCAGAGAATTCACACCTTTTTCTTCACACCCCTGCTGAGCCGGGTATCGGTTGTGTTCCACTCTGGAGGTTGCTTCTCAATGCTTCTGTTTTTACCCCCCTGAAACTCTGTCTCCATGTAAACAGAAGGCCAAACCAATACCCAACTCTAATGTTTTACTGTCACAGCGTCTCCGTCTAAATGGGGCCTCAGATCCCTTTTCATTATTTTCCCATATGAAGCCCTTTGCGTCCACATACAAAACACAACCCAGTTTGCCCTGGGAGTATGCCTAAATATAAACTCTGATATTACTCAGCTTCTGAGAGAAGCCCTTCTGAGGACACTGAAATATTGAATCTGTCTGCACTACTGGCTACAGGCACTTCTCAAAATGTCATCCTATGCACTGGTTCTGCTTTATTCAAGAAGTTGTTTTCAGCCTGTTCCTCCGACAGTATATTTTGATAAAGATGAACATTGCTTGCTTGTATAGGTCAAGCTAGGTTCATTTGGTTCATCTGTGGGACAGGAAAGATTCCCATTAACTGTTTAGAGCACCTTTTAAGAAGATTATTCTAAATCTGTTGTATCTGTGTCTCCAGTGAAACATTGGGAGAATTGAAAGAGCACCTGAAAAAAATGACAATTTCCCTCATATCTAGAGTTTATGGTGAGAGGAAGCATTCGATTCCAACGGCCAAGTGACCATGGAAGTGTAATTGTTTGTATTCATATTTTGTGAAGTTTTCTTGTCAAATTTTTTGTACCTTTTTTAAAGACAAGTGAGAAGAGTCGTGTGTGTATGCAGGAAAAATCTATTGCCTAGATGTTTTTCATACCCTTTCCTACTATTTAGCAGCTGTTATTTTACCTCCAATGGACCTGGGTTCACTATATTGTTTCCCACCAGATGTTGTACATCTATGACTGCACATACCATCTTTGACTCAGCATTTAGTTTGTGGCCAGTTAGTGGGGCTTTGTGTTGTAATTCTGTATGATCCACTCTGCTTCAAGCTCAATAATAAAATCGATTTTGTGTTCTTTTCCAAGATATGGCAGCTGACATCTGTAAAAGACCCTAACATATCACAATTTTTACTGCAACTTTTTGAGACTTTCATGGCTATTCATGATTTATATTGTTGAACACAGTAAGCTTGTTCAATGTTTCTGACATGTTGCCTTGGTAGTAACTACCAAGGCAACTAGTCAGACTAGTCAACTATTTAGTATGACTAAATTTAATGTGACATTGAGTGATAGAAGACGAAATAACGCGGTGTTTTGCTGTTTGAGTGAATCGAATACATATGTAATGTTTTCACACATGTTCCCCGTTATCAAGTCCATATAAAGCCTTTTTTATAGGATGTCTATCCGTCGTTACAGGCATATGCTGCTGTCTTTTCTCTTTAAGATCATCTCACCAGAAATACCAAAAGGGCTCATCTGGAAGTGTCTGTCATAGATGCTTATCATAAGAGCCTTTTGTGATTCCTAATGAACCTCAGTCTGCTGATAAGAGCCAATCACTGAGGATGGAGATTGCATTATACTGTGACTAGTTGTTTCTAGATTACATATGCATTGTGAACCGCTATTTTATCCAATGTAAAGTAATGCTCCAACACCCTTGCCTTTGAATCTGATTCAATCTGAATATATTTCAGTTTATTTTAATATTGTAGGGTTATAGCAAAGACTAGTTTCTATCTCTTTCCACAGACAGCTCCTGACAGAGGCCCTAGTGGCATTGCAGGATGGGTCAAATGCAGACAGTTTCCTATGGGGATAAATAAAGTGGCGCCGTAAAGATGGCGCCGTGGCAAGAGCTCTGGTGTGTGTCGTCTGGTGCACACTGGGGTAGTCTTGCACAGTTTTTCCAATGTGGTTTTACTGCAAATGGCAAATAAATGAATCTGAATCTATGGTTCCAATGAGCCACTATGACATCACACAGGTTGACTTTTACACACATGTTGTTTTAAAGAAAAGTTTTGCCCATGAATTTTGGCAGTTTCTCCAGCAAAATGATGTTCTTTACTGTTTTATAATCAGGATAAAAACAATACAACCCTCTGGTGGTAGCATAGGGAGTTACAGGCAGAAAGCTTTTTTCACCATATGTTTTGTTTTTAAGATATAATTTCACATTCTCCAAAAATGCAAAGTTAATAATCTCTTGATTTTTTTTTAGAGGCCATAAATTAGGCATTTCTTCTTTAAAACTGAAAATGTTACAACATTTCCAAGTAATTTACTGTTGTTTTCTCATCTAGATACTTTTGATTTGAATACAATTAGTAGGATTTGGGTACACACACATAATTTGGTTGATTTGGATGCTTTTGACCCATTGTCAATTATACAACCTGTCCTCCTCAAGAGTCCTGTGGTGGTGACAGCCTGAGCGTGTGGATGACAGAGCAGTGCGGAGGAGGGGCGGACGCACACATGATGAGGTTGCTGATTGGTCTGGGAAAAGTGTGATGTAATGCTTTGTGACTGCGCTGCAGAGTAATGTAAGGGCTGAACACAAAGCGCTGCGTGCCGTGGGAAATGTAGAGTTTGGGTTTGATTTACGCAATTATGTTAAAGGATGTTGGGTTTACATGTATTTATGAAGGGTTACGAGGCTCTCTGGTGATTTTCTGGTCAAACAGTCACTTCATAGAAATGGCTTTTGGATCTGCGATGACAATACAGATTAAACCTGTCAATTAAAGGGCAACTTATGCATTGGGCCTCTGTGCATGAATTGCTGCAGAAATGTGCCGGGACATTTTTGCTGTACGTATTTCACTTTGTTTTATTTTTTGAGACCTGTAGTTGTGTTTTGAGATGAAGACACTGTTCGACTCTGACACACTTGAGTTATGGTATACTGATAATGAATGGTAAAACAAAAAAAAGGAAATGTCATTAAGTGTTGTATATAATTCCACATGAAGTCCATTTTAAAACATGTCCCTCAGAATTGTTTAGTTTGCTTGGTCATTTTCACAATTTTGATAGTAAGCGTTCTATCTTTGGTGGGTGTCACATGGATCAATAGGCAATAGTGGACAAACCTATACCTCTTTGCATCTTTCTAAACATCCATGATCAGTGTAATTGTTTTCAGACTGGGTGATTAGTCATTTATGAAGTGGACTAGTTGTGTCTGAGAACAGAGTTCTTGCTGCTTGAAAAGGCTGTGGTGTTTTGACAGTAAAACCCCTTGTGTCTGTAAAACAAATCTCCATAATCATAATGTTCTAGTTCTGCCAATGTGCCTGACAGTCATCGGAAAGCACATTCAAAAGGTTTAAGCTCCTAAAACCAAGGCAAACAATGATTCACTTGCCTTTAAACTCACCATCTACTGCTTCAGAATTATTCTCTAACACAGGATTGCATATCTGCTTCCTCAAAAGCCACACACAATTGTATTGGCCCCACCGCAGATTAAAACATGGTTATGGGGATGTAAAAGAAAGCTCTGTGCTATTGACTTGTGGTTTGGCATTTGTCATCTGTTTTTCTAAGTTGAAAAAGGTTCTATGTTTAGGAAAGAACGTTACTGCCTCCTTTTGGACTGTTTAATAAGTGCACCTCATTACATAGTCTGACATCAGTGCAAAGTTGTGTAAAAAAAAAAAAACAAGTCAAACATCATAATGGTTATTGGACTGGTTTAATTGTATACTCTGGATATGAAATAATTATATTTATCCGCTGTTTAAGAAATATTGTGATATCCTCTGCAACTAATAATTCCAATAGCCCCGATTGTGTGTGTGTTTTTGACACGCCATGGTCCAACGACATCTCCGGCCCTCTTGTCCTTGAAGCAGGAGAACATGCATATGCTATAGTTTGTGGGACTTGAAGCTTGGCCCGACATCACATCTGCAATCTCTAACATAACAAACATGATTAAAAGGTATAACTAGTTGATTGTTTTTGACTCGCTTCTGTTTTTACATATACAGAACAGACAGCTGCTGAAAGACGGCTTCATGGTGGAGCTGGTGGAAGGAGCCAGGAAACTCCGACACGTTTTCCTCTTCAGTGATCTACTGCTCTGCACAAAGCTGAAGAAACAGATTGGAGGGTAAGACCACCATGTGCTGCAGAGAGCGTAATTAGTTAAAAGCATCCGGTGAATTATCCAGTACTTTAAAAAAGTATATATTTATCTCAAGGCAAGACAGTTGCATTGGCAATCCTGTTAATCACAACACTTTGTTATTGTTATCATTTATAGCATGTCAAAGTATGTCATAAGACAAGTCTCACATTCTAATGACAAAAATGTTTTAAATGCATGTGCTGTTTATTTAGTAAACCCATTTATGTTAATCAGTAATTATAATGACATCTTGACTGTATAATCTTTTCAATAATAGAACAAATAGTTATTCATCTTGTGAATTATAAATTAAACTACAAATAATTTTTTTTTTTTAATTTGTTGTTTTATCACAATTCACAAATTGTAGCCAAACTTCCTATGGTTAGTCTTCAGCTTGGCTCATTGACTTCAATTTCAGTCGATTCAGTGTAATTTATAATAAAGAATTTATTACACTGCATTATTAACTGTTGTTACTATAAACCAGAGTCTCTGGTAAATATTTTAGTAAACGGGCCACGTTACACAGTCTGGATTTTAAAACTGTTCTGACTGAAGTCGGGCTTTTCTGAGCTTTAAAATGAGGTATGACATGTCTGTGTTGTTTTACATTGAGGGAGCTGAAGTTGGCTGAATGACAAATGTATACAGTCTCACCAATCACATTAGCACCCTGCAGAGATGTTTGTGACACACTCTAAAACATTTGTCAGGATGGACAAATAAAGTAATTGACTGGACTCTAGAGGATCTGAGTTTTGCAGCTGAAGTTGGCTGAATAACACTGTGAATTCTGAGTCACCACAGTTGCTTAATGTAGAGGGCCAAATAACATGACACACACTTCTGCAATTTGCCACTGGTCTTAGTTTGGACGAGCTTGCCGTAAACTTAACATACCCTTTATTTTGGCCACAGGAAAAGCCAGCAATATGACAGTAAGTGGTACATCCCTCTGACGGAGCTGACCTTCCAGAGCCCGGAGGACACAGAGCCCCTCAGTGTACCCCAGACTCCAGACGAGGAGCTGGACGCCCTCAAGGTGAAGATCTCTCACCTTCGGAGCGAGCTGCAGAGAGAGAAGGTGCGTGCTCTTCCATCACCACAGCATGAACACTGTTTAAACAGGTTTTTACCCGAAGCTGACTTTCTCTGTGTCGCCATAATGTCTTTTTACTGTGCGGGTGCAGAAGGCTAACAAAGGCTCAAAGGTGATCGATCGGCTGCGGAAGAAGTTGTCGGAACAGGAGTCTCTGCTGCTGCTCATGTCTCCCAGCTTGTCCCTCCGACTGCACCATAAGAATGGAAAGGTGAGGACGGACACGGTACAACTTAAAACAGCTTTATTTGGGTTTTTAGAAGAGTTCACCATTGCAGTGACTTATGGTAGCTTCAGGCATTGAAATAAGTTTTTGTTTGAGCCAAAATTATGTTGATTAACATTAGATTCTACTTACTTCAGGTGCTTGAAGTAAGTGGAAATTAATGTTAATCAATGGAATTGTTTTGATAAGAAAATGACCGCAGTTTCACTTTTGAAATTGGGAAAAATCTGAGAAACTTGCAGCTTTTGATGAAAAATTGAGACTTCTTTAAGCCATTATTTTATTGTTACTTTATTGTTATTGTTTTTTTTTATTTTTCTGTTCCTATCAAAATGAAAACATTATACAGTCAAAGAAATAATGCGTTTCTCACTACGTTTATGGACCATTTCAAATTGTAACTTCAGATTTGGATACTGTTCTTTGTGCACATAAGCAAGTCAACCAATACAAATCTTTGGGCCATTTTAGAGTTTTTCAAATGTTATTCATTTGGTGTATTTTGTGCAAAAGAAACTAGATCATTTCAAACATAACTTCCTGAGCTTCCTGTTCTGGAGGTTCTTTATAAATCCAGACTTTTAAACAAAGCTCTTAGGATTGTTAATGACTCTTCTGGCCACCCTGGGAAAGCCATGTTCCAGCTTCTTCCCTCTGGCAGAAGATATCGCTCTCTGAGATGCAGGACATCTCGTTACGCTAACAGTTTTTATCCACAGGCCGTTATCAGGCAAGGCAAGGCAAGGCAAGTTTATTTGTATAGCACAATTCATACACAAGGCAACTCAAAGTGCTGAACAAGATAGCATTAAAATCATAAATAATCACAGAACATTAAAAAGAAAGATAAAAATATAAAATCCCTCAGTTGTATGCACAGCTAAACAGCACCGTTTTTAACTTGGTTTTAAACATTGTCAGAGAGGAGGCCTGTCTCACATCTTCAGGAATAATGTTCCAGATTTTAGCAGCATGAATCTGAAAAGCAGCCTCCCCATGTTTAGTTCTAACTCTGGACACTAACAGGAGTCCAGTCCCTGTGCTCCTCAGAGTCCCAGCAGGAGTCCAGTCCCTGTGCTCCTCAGAGTCCGGGCTGGTTCATATGGGACTAACATGTCACTAATATATTTTGGTGCGAGGCCATGGAGAGACTTGTACACAAGCAAAGCTGTTTTAAAGTCTATTCTCTGAGCCACAGGAAGCCAGTGCAGAGACCTGAGGACCGGACTAATATGGTCGTACTTCCTGGTTCTAGTCAGGACTCGAGCTGCTGCATTTTGAATGTACTGCAGCTGTTTTACAGCCTGTTTGGACAGACCTGTGAGCAGGCCATTGCAGTAGTCTAACCTACTGGAGACAAATGCATGGATAAGAATCTCCAGGTCTGCTTTAGACACTATGTTTTTGATCCTGGCAATGTTTTTTAGATGGTAAAAAGCTGCTGATGTTACTGATTTGATGTGGCTATTAAAATTTAAGTCTGAGTCCAGTATTACCCCTAGATTTCTGACCTTGTTTGAAGGTTTTAGGGAGAGAGACTGTAGATGACAGATGACGCTCTCTCTTTGTTTCTGGGGACCAAAGACAATCATTTCAGTTTTGTCTGCGTTTAGCTGAAGGAAGTTGTTTTGCATCCACTCACTGATCTGTTGGATACAGTGAAGGAGTGAGTCCACTGGTCCATGTTCTCCTGCAGTCAGTGAGACATAGATCTGAGTGTCGTCTGCATAGTTATGATAGGAAACTTCGTTTCTGCGTATTAACTGACCTAACGGCAGCATGTAGAGATTGAACAGAAGAGGTCCCAGGATCGACCCCTGTGGGACTCCACAGGTCAGGGCCATATGATCTGAGACACAGTTTCCAATCTCCACAAAGTACTTCCTGTCTTCAAGGTAAGACCTAAACCAACTTAGGGCGGTGCCAGCGACGCCAACCCAGTCCTCTAGTCTCTGTAAGAGGATCTCATGGTCGACAGTGTCAAAGGCAGCACTCAGATCTAACAGGATTAGGATTGAGACTTTGCCTGCGTCAGTGTTTAGCCGGATATCGTTTGTAACCTTGACGAGAGCAGTCTCAGTGCTGTGGTGGGGTCTAAAGCCGGACTGAAACATATCAAATGAGTTGTTGATTATAAGAAATCTATTTAGCTGTTGGTAGACAACTTTTTCAAGGACTTTCCCCATAAATGGCAGATTTGAGATGGGACGGTAGTTGTTAAGTACCGTAGCATCCAGACTGCTCTTTTTAAGCAGGGGCTTGATGACTGCAGTTTTCAGGGCCTTTGGGAATATTCCAGAATGAAGGGACATGTTTACTATCTGTGTGAGTGAAGGTAACAGACTGCTCAGAACAGACTTTAGAAATCTAGTGGGTAGTACATCCAGGCTGCATGTGGAGGAGCTCAAACTGGAGATTATCTCTTGGACAGTTTGATCATTTACAGGTGCAAAGTAAGTTAGCTCAAAGAGCCTTTTAGGCTGTTGGATGGTTATCTGTGGATTGGAGACAATGGCGTTTTTGATGCCTTGAACCTTGTCATTGAAAAAATGTGCAAACTCATTACATTTACGTTTGGAAGTTAGCTCTAATGGCATCTGAACAGGGGGGTTTGTTAATCTATTAACTGTTGAAAACAGAACACGCAGATTGTTGCTGCAACCTTCAATCATTTCAGAAAAATACCTTTCTCTCGTACTACGTAGCACCTGGTTAAACTCGCACAACTTATCTTTGAAGATCTTGTAATCAACCTGGAGGTTGGACTTGCGCCACTTCCGCTCGGCCCTCCGGCACTCTCTCTTTTGTGCCCTGACCGAGTCTGCTTTAGCCCACTGATTTGATGTGGCTATTAAATCAGTGGGCTTATTTTTCACTATTTTAACCTTCACAGGAGCGATGGTGTCCAGAACATTCAAAACACTAGAGGTGACAGAGTTAAACAGTTCATCTACAGTAGAATACGATGCATTCTCAAAGTTTATCATTCCCATAAATAGTTCACCCGTATTTTCATTTATGTGTCTTCTTCGTACAGTTGCAGAGTCCACTGGTGGTTTGTTAGTGAAACACATGTCAAAAAATACACAAAAATGATCCGAAAGCGCAACATCGACCACGTTTACATTTGAAATATTCACCCCCTTAGTAACTAACAGATCTAGAGTGTGCCCTCTGCTGTGGGTGGGGCCACTCACATGCTGAGTGAGACCAAAAGATTCAAGAACAGAACTCAGCTCTTTTGCCTTTCTGTCAATAACATTATCCACATGAATATTAAAATCCCCTGTAATAACTAAGCTATCAAAATCTGTGCATAAAACTGAAAGCAACTCCGTAAAATTATCAATAAATCTGTGACATGACTGCGGTGGCTTGTATAGGACAATGAAGAGTATTGGACGAGATTGTTTTTGTTGTATTTTAAAAGACACATATTCAAAAGACGGAAACTTCCCAAGAGACATTCTATGGGAGACAAAGTGGTCTCTGAAAATGGCAGCTAAGCCTCCTCCTTTTTTGTTTTCCCGTATTTCAGATTCAAATTTGAAATTTGGTGGTGATGCTTCTATTAAAACTGCATTTTCTGTATTTTGGTCAAGCCATGTTTCAGCCATGAACATAAGATCTAGATTATAAGAACAAATAAAATTATTGATTAAAAAAGACTTGTTACAAAGAAATCTGACATTTAGCATAGCAAGTTTCAAAGTTTCAGTATCAGCGGTTGTGGTCGGCTGATTCTTACACTGAACAAGAATTAGATTTTCCTGATTAGACTGATTTACTTCAGATGTTTTTCTGTAATGTATTCTTTGTGTTATCACTAAAGGAATGGCACAGGTGGCTTCATGACAGGGCCCCAGCCGGGTCTCTCCTCTAACTAGACTGCCAGTGGCTGCGAAGCAGAGACCCTGTGCATCCTAGTGTTTAGAGAAAAGAGGGGAAGGGGAAGGCGGGGGAAGAGGATGGAGAGGCAGGTGGTTCTTGGGAGTTGGACGGGGGGGGGTTGAAGGTGGATGGGTTTTTGGTGATGGGTTAGGGGAGGGGCAGGCTGAGTTGGGTGGTGGACGAGGGGGGAGTGGAGGTGGAGGGTTTCTTGGTGCTGGGTTAGGGGGGAGGTGGGCTAAATGAGCAGGAGGGGGGGGTGGAATACTTATGGGGTTAGAGGAGGGACGGGTGGATTTTGTGGGAGAATTTGAGTTGGACGCCCTAGGTGGCTTTGGAGGTACGTATGGGGAGTAGTTTTGAATGTTAGATAGGACTCTTGATCTGGCTACAGTGGGTGTGAGAGGAATAGTCTTCATCGCCGATCTTATCATGCCTGCCGAGTGTTCCGGTAATTCCAGTAGTGAAGGCGGGGATAGAAAACAAAGGGAAAGGTCGTCCTCATTTTCCCTAGATGGAGTGGATGTAGCGGGGGGGACCCAAGCCGGGTCCATGAAAGGTGATGAGGGAGTCTTTGTTGGAGACAGAGGTGGTTGAGGAACCCCCAGTACAGGCCTGACTGTAGCCTGGAGCAATGGGGGAAGCTTCACGGGAGCTGTAGGTGGGGAAGGTGCTGCTGAAGATGATGGAGCAGCCACTGCTGCTGCTGAAGATGATGGAGCAGCCACTGCTGCTGCTGTATCCACTGCTGCTGCTGAAGATGATGGAGCAGCCACTGCTGCGGCTGTATCCACTGCTGCTGGTGGTGCTGTATATGCTGATGGCGCTGATGAAGATGTGGCAGCTGCTGATGATGCTGGGGGTGGAGGCGTTGAGCTCTTTCGGAGCCGTGGAGGTGTTGAGTTCTTTTGGAACCTTGGAGGTGTTGAGTTCTTCTTGAATCGTGGAGGTGTGGAGTTCTTTTGAGGCGGTGGGGGTGCAGAGACCTCGGGAGTCGGTGGAGATGGTCGTGATGTCTGTGCCCTTTGCTTCTTCTTTCTCCCTTTCGACAGCTGCACGCGCTGTGCAGGCTGAGGTCTTAGGGCAGATGCAAAGTTATCCATCAACACTTTTACTCCGTAGTTGTTCAGATGTGGGCCTTTTTCTTCAAAAAGCTCGTGCCTATTCCAGAACAGGTTAAAGTTTTCAATGAAGCCAAGTCCTCTGCGTGAACACTCATTGAGTAGGAATGTATTTAGCTGATACAGACGGCTAAACTTCTCAATTTTTCCATCTATATTTGGAAGTGGGCCACTAAGAAAAATTGTTATGTCCATTTTCTTGAGGTCATCCAGTAACAGCGTTAAATCCATTCGTAACTTCTCGCTTGCCTTCTCATAGATATCTACCGCCCCCGTGTGGATCAATAATGTACGCACACCACTGTTCTCAGATAACACTTTAGGCAGAAGAGTTCTTATCTCAACAACTTTTGCAGAGTGAACTGAGACAGTGAGCATGGACTCCATGTTTACATTTTTCACCGAACCATCTCCGATAAGGACACAGTTTGTCCTTGGTGGAGGCGCTGCAGTTGTTAGCGGCTTTGTTGTTTCAGAAAGGGGTAAAAAGCGGTTTGAAGTCTTCAGAACATTTAGTTGTAACCTTATTTCACTCCTATTGTCATTCTTAGCTTTGTCAACTTTGGGTTTAGCTCCACAATTGTTCCAATAATTCTCATTGTTGATTTTGGGAAAAGAAATGACGTCATAACTTACATTTCCAGTCTGTCCATTCATCCCATTTTCACTCATTGGAAGAGTCGGGTAAAGTGCTCTGTTCAGTGTGAACAGAGCACTTTAATGATTTGCACTTGTTTTGAAACTGTTTTAGTCGATCGATTTCACAGTGACATTTGTTTACTGTTTTATTTGTTTTATTTCTGTCTTTTAATCTTGTTTTATGTCTGTATTTGTCTGTGCACACTGGAGACTTTTGCTAATGTATTCCAATGTGGTGTTTTACTGCAAATGGCAAATAAAACTGAATCTGAATCTGATAACTTTTTGCCATTTAAATACACCCTTTTGATGAGCCATACACCACATTGGTAAATCACTAATACTACATGTTGTTGTTTGACTTTTTTGTTTAATTCATTTGATTAAAAATGTGTATTTTCTGTTCCAGAGTTATGCTTTCTTACTGTCATCAGACTATGAACGGGCCGAGTGGAGAGAGATTCTCAAGGAGCAGCAAAAGAAATGTATGTGTTCCTTTATAGTCGTTATTTTTATGTCTCCCTGCACAAAAAGTCACCTCTTTGCTCACGTTCTCGTCTCAAGGCATTAAAACTCCTGCATTGTCGTCGATGGAGCTGCAGATGTTGACCAGCTCCTGTATCAAGCTCCAGACAGTTCATCATATTCCTCTCAGCATCAACAGAGACGGTCAGACATTTCTCTTGGATCCTCTCTCTGTAAAAACATCTTGAATCTAAACCTTTCTGTCTTCCTCAGATGATGAGTGTCCTGGTCTGAGTGGCTTTCTGAATGTAATCGTCCACTCTGCCTGTGGCCTCAAACAGAGCCTGAGTGAGTCATCCACCTCCAGCCCCAGTAAATATGGACAAATTAAATCCCTATTTCTATCTCCTATAATTACACTTCCTTGGACTCTTTGTGCCTAACATACAGTTGTGTGTCCTCTCCTGTACAGACCTTTACTGCACTTTGGAGGTGGACTCCTTTGGGTTCTTCTCTAATAAGGCAAAGACGAGAGTGTATCGATACACCACAGAGCCCAAATGGAATGAGGTGAGACATTGCTATGCACAAAACAGGAACTTTATACAATCCAGCTTCTAAAGGTGAAAACTAGAATTATTATTATTATTATTTGCTATAATAAAGGCTTCAGAGATTGTCCTTGCCAATGCTGGAGTGTCGATAACAACAGAAATGTATCGCAAATGTAACTTTGACAGTAAGCTTGTTCACATCATTGAGATACTGGCTCTTTCACTTTCGCCGTTTTGCCGGTCTTCCTTCTCTGTTCTTCTCCGCTCGGCCCCACCTTCGATTGCGCCCCCTTTGGCCCTTGTGGGTGTCTCATTAAACACAGAAACGGCGCCGCTTAGCTAGCAGCAAAGATGTAAACATGCGCAAAGGAAACAAACTTGTCTAAAAAAAAACGCGGTGTGTAAAATATGACGGGGGGGTGCAGCGTTTGTCGTCATTGAACAAAGTGGCTTTTTACCAGAGACTGTAAACTTTATATCCAGCTAGAAATGAAACTTAAAGTAGCAATGTGTAAGGTTTTCACATCAAGTCAACCTTAAATGGCCCTTCTGTGTCAAAAGACATTCATAAACCTTGCTATTTTTCGATGGTGGTATCAGTCTGGTGCTGTGTGTACCAGACTGAGAAAATGGATGGATGAATGGAAAATCAGTTATTCAGCCCGTAAATCTTGTTATTGTTTTCATTTCGATGTTTATTTTTAGATTTACATACTGCTCCTTTAAGATGACTTTATGTAACCCCGGATTTTTGATAACATAGTCAGGTGTTTCATTACAGAGTCGAGGCCTTACTTTGTGATACAGTTACTTACTATTAAAGTAATCAGGGTTTGGTTCCTTTATTTTTTATGTTGCAGAAGCTCTTTTTTCCTACATGCGCATTGAGTTTAGTCGTTTTATTTTTGAATGAAGAAAAGGCAATATGTATAATTTCTTCAGAAACAGGAAATTAAAACATGTGACAGAAGCCCTTTGTTCCTACTTGAACTGACTTCTTCATCTTTGAGATTCAAGGAGAAAAAAAACACTTTGGAAATTAACTTGTTTGTATTTGCAGTTGTTCTTGGAGGGTTAGTTATCCTGTAAACATTATTAAATATATGCTGTTTATCGAGATAGGGTTAAATATATATCAATATATTGTTCTATATCTACAACATGCATGGACAATTATCAACATTCATGGACATTGGTAGTTGACCAATGTCCATGAATGTTGATAATTGTCCCCCTTATGGACCAATACCTATTTGTTATGACGGGATAATGTATAGTACAGTAAAATAAGTACCGACAGGGCGGAGCGCGGAGGGGTCTGCTTCCGCCCTGAAGGTACTGATTTTCCAACAATGACCTGCGTACTATACGTTATCCCGCTTATTATACGGCTTTATACCAACAGAACACACAAAATAAACTTCAGTCCACTTTTAGGAATGCCAAAAGGTTTATTTAATGACTGCAAATAAAATAGTTCCCAAAGGTTTTCCCGTGGCAGGCGAGTAACAGCTTCCAAACTAGAACTCTTTTACTCAAGATTTGAGATTTGAGATCAACATTTTGACAGATGAGTTAATCTACTGTTTTGATTGAACCAATACTCAAACAAAAAGAAGAAATATAATTGAAGATAATTACAAAAATTCTAATAAAATAAATAACTATTCACCTTTTTCACATTTTCTTTTGCACAAATAGAAAAAAAACACATTGGAAAACATCCTCAAAGTGTGCACCCAGACAAGTACAAAAGTAAAGCTACAAAGTACAGGAATAAGAATAGAATTATCACTGTCAAATTGATAAATTTGTCAAATTGATAAATTTGACAGTGGGGGCGACAGTAGCTCAGTTGGTAGAGCATTGGCCTTTGGGCCTGAAGGTTGTGGGTTCGAGCCCACCGCAAGACCTACTTCACGACTCCCACTGATGACTGCTGTCGTTGTGTCCTTGGGCAAGACACTTAACCTCACTTTGCCTGAAGCTCCCACTGAAAGATCTCAGCTCCTGTGGACTCACCACCTGCAGGAGGATCAGTGAGGGGCTGGTGCTCTGTGGACTGGGTGCAGCTCTGACTGCCACCCCCCCTGACTGGAAATTGGTAAACAAAAACGGGTTCAATACAAGTGCAAGAACATAAAAGTGCTTTGTTTAAACAGCTTGTGGAAAGAGAGATCATTTACATACATGTGTATAGACATGATGAATCTTAAAAGCAGCTCTCTCTCTACATGTTAAGTTCAGATTTTAGATTCCATTAAAATTGACTTTAAAATTATGTATAACATGGTGTAGAACCTTATTACCTTCAATGCTGCAGGATAGTGATAATAATTTATGATAATTTAACGGCCTGAGTTTGACATGTCTGGTCTATATCATATGTTGGTTTCAGATTTTAGGATGAATTACAAAAATAAATGAACCTTTTGAACAATAGATAAAATAGTTGCAGTAATTATTTGCAATGGTCATAATTATCTTTTAAAGTACTAAAACCTAAAACATTTGTTGTTCTAAAATTTCTGGGCAGTTGCACGCTTGATAAACATGTAACTGATTACTAAAATGTATTTTTCATTACACATTATTGTCTTTTTGAGCAGCTGCACACTATTTATGATACAGTGACACCCAGAGGTCATAGATTAGTGAAGCTTTGAGCATGCATGACAAACTTTTTTCCATTTGACACATTTTTGACTTAATTCAAGCTCTTTTTTAGATACTTTCAGCTAATTAAGAGCTGCTTGAGATAACTAACGTCTTCCCAACGTTTAGTGATCCAGTGTAAGCCGCCAAATGATCCTCGAACCATATGCACCACTGTTCCCACATGATTATTGTAGGTTCTAATGTCAAACTCTTGATAGCTAAATTTGCTCTCTTTGTGTGTGTCTTCTCTTGGAGTTATCCACAGATATTGCGTAATTAACTTTATGTTTTTATAGCAAGCAGATCTAATTCTTGTCGCTTTCCACACACTCTGCTCAAGGAGTTTGAGATTGACCTGGAGGGCTCTCAGACCCTGCGGCTGCTCTGCTACGAGAAGTGCTACAACAAAACCAAGCAGAACAAAGAGGATGTGGAGAGCACCGACCGCATCATGGGAAAAGGACAGCTCCCGGTATGATGTCATCTTTTTCAGGCACTGTACAACTGTTTACAACTCAGCCTTTAGTTATGTCAATTTCTTAAAAATAGAAAAAAAATCTGCATTGATCTTCAGTGCAAGTGGTTTTCATCAGCAGGAAATGTGTCTGTCCATGTAATCCTGTTATACATAGAAAAACTGTATTAATTTTTCATTTATTTATTTATTTAATATGGACATAGCAATTAACATTGGACGAACCAGATGCATTGTTTAAAGTGTTATAGCACAAGTGCTAATTTTCAACACCTGTCCATAGGGGGCTTTTAGGTTACAAAGATAAAACACATTAGGAAACAAGGTTACAATAAAACACATTATTAAACAAAATAAGACATGTTTTAAACATGGGAACAAGTTTGGCCCGATTTGAGCCACTGTTTAAGCTCTCTGGTAAAGATGTTGATATTATTCTGCAGTTTCAGTGCAGTGGGGAGAGAGTTCCACAGTGTAGCCCCTCTAAAGGAGAAGCTCGACTGTCCAAAAGATTTTCTAAACTTTGGGAGCACACAATCCCCGCTAATTGTTAATGCACATGTGTCTAGTGAATGTTCCTCCCCATGTGCGATTAGTTAAGACAACTATTTACATCATGAACAGTGGACCCGTTTTGTCATGAAGGAGGAAATGTCAGTCACGTACTCCCCCTACTGGCAGGATCTTCAACTCCTCATCTGTAGCTGCTTGGAGATGATGTCATTTTAAAAACAGCTTTTTGATGCACCAGTTCTCAGTTGTGTTGTTTATTTGGAACGCAACAAAGTTATCGCCTGATTTGGACAACTATACTTTTATGAAAAATAATCACTTACAGTGTACCATTATGTCAACCTATAGTTGGATATATAAGTCCAAACATATGTTCAAATAGTTAATCTATGACAACTACTTGTAGTGGGGCAAAAAAAGTATTTAGTCAGCCACCAATTGTGCAAGTTATCCCACTTAAAAAGATGAGGGAGGCCTAAAATCTTCATCATAGGTATACCTCTACTATGAAAAAAAACATCCAGAAAGTCACATTGTCTGATTTTTAAAGAATTTACTTGCAAATCGTGGTAGAAAATAAGTATTTGGTCAATAACAAAAGTTCATCTCAATACTGGCTCATCCTTTGTCCATAAACACTTTGACAGCAATAACAGCCAAAACGTTTTCTGTTAGTTTTTCACACACCGTTGCTGGTATTTTAGCCCATTCCTCCATGCAGATCTCCTCTAGAGCAGTAATGTTTTGGGGCTGTCACTGGATAACACTGACTGCTTCTTACAAAGCCATCCATCGGTGCTCGTAGCCAGGCCGGTGTGTTTGGGATCATTGTCATGCTGAAAGACCCAGCCACGTTTTATCTTCAATGCCCTTGCAGATGGAAGTTTTTCAAAATCTCACTATACATGGCCCCATTCGTTCTTTCCTTTTCTGTCCCTTTGCAGAAAAACAGCCCCAAAACATGTTTCCACCCCCATGCTTCACAGTAGCTATGTTCTTCTTTTTGTTGCAACTCTCTTCCAAACACAACGCATTGTATTTTTACCAAAAAGTTCTATTTTGGTTTCATTTGACCATATGACATTTTCTCAATCCCCTTCTGGATCATCCAAATGCTCTCTAGCAAACTTCAGACGGGCCTGGACGAAGCCCCGGAGAACCAAGATTGCGTCGTATTCAAAAGGATGGTGCTCAGTGGTGCATGGTCGCTGAAAGATTCAAGATTCAAGATTAATTTATTATGTCCCGTAGGAAATTTGTCTTGGACTCACAGGCTGCTACATTGAGAATACACATAAGACAGATATAAAAACACAACACAGTAACACCGACATTATACCATCAGCGCTCTGCTCCATGGCCTGCATTCAGGAGGTTCACAGATATGGGTAGGAATGAGTTCTTATACCAGATTAACTGAACTCTGCTATATTTGGGCATTGTCGGGTCCTCCCGGTTCTGCGCAGTGGACAAGCTTCCAAGATATACGTGTGTGTGGCTCTCATGCACATGCACAGAGAGGCTCGGCAGCTTCAAACTAGTAATACCCTATTCAGTTATTATAGTAGATCCATGTCCCTCATCTCTTCAAGTGGGAGAACCTGCGCAACTAGTGGCTGACTTAATACTTTATCCCCCACTGTTTATGGCTGTTACAACTATTGTGTGGTATATTAACTGTCTTTGGTCTGGTCTGGTGATAACATTTCATACGTACAATAAAAATAAAATAAATATTTATCAGGGGTCAAACAGTATGAGGTGCTCTTTGAGGATCCAAAAAAATAACTTTAAAAGTCTCACAAATTTGATCTATGTAATGATATTCAATGTTACTTTTCCTTGGCTCTCAGTCCTATCACCAGTTTTCACAAGGACCACCCTCACTCAGCCCAAAGTGTCAAATAGTGACTCAGAGGATGCAAAAAAAGCATAGTTTCTAATGAGATACAGCATCTTGTGGTTCTATTTGTTCCCAACATCATGTTCTGACGATGCTTGTTGGGCGACCTACATGTTTTTTTCTAAAGCTAAACATGAGGTACCACTTTTGATCTAAAAAACAATAATCCTAATATATTTTTCAGCTTGACCCTCAGCTTCTGCAAGGGAAAGACTGGCAGAGGACCGTGATTCCTATGAATGGGGTGAGAATTTTTTCTTCTTTTTACTGCCTTTGATTTCCTCGTTGCTGAGTCTGTAACTATGGCCCTTCCTTTGGTTCTGTTAGATCGAGGTAAAATTATCCATGAAGTTCACCAGCCGAGAGTTCAGTCTGAAGAGGATGCCGTCACGAAAACCCATGGGTGTCTTTGGAGTCAAGCTCTCCACAGTAACCAAGTGAGTGGATGACCATAACAGTGTAGAACCCTATAATATGCACATTTACTCAAATGTCAACACGATTATATTTTTATATTGTCTTAGGATATGAACATTCCTGTAGCAGAACATACAATAAAATGGTGTGATAAAATTTGTACCACAAATCTAACCTCTCAAAGCGGTCCTCTCACTCGTTTTCACATGCATTTTCCTCTATCAAATACATTATATATACATTATTTTGACTTTTTTAGTTTGAGAGAATTCAATTAGTGACTCACAGGGATATACAATTCTTAATATTGGGACAAAACTTATTATTTTTAGTTAGATAACCCAACTTTTGTATACAAATATGCACTTCTAAATACATGATTTGTGACTTACACAGGCGTGAGCGCTCGAAGGTACCCTATATAATCCGTCAGTGTGTGGAGGAGATTGAGAGGAGAGGGATGGAGGAGGTCGGCATCTACAGAGTATCAGGAGTGGCCACCGACATACAAACCCTAAAAACTGCATTTGATACGAGTAAGTGAAGTCTTTCTTTGAGAAATTTAGTGAAATATTTCTAACCCAGGCCTTTTTCTTTGAATTGGTATTTGTCTGGACTTCTGTTTATGCATTTTTTTCAATATAAAACACATTCTAACTAAAATATTGAATAGAATACAAATACAATCTCAACTAATTTCAACTAAAGCTTGTTTAGTGTACTTTAATGTACTTTATGGAGCAGGGGAGAGTCACGAAACTGTTTGGGCTCTTTGGTAATGATTATTTTGATCGATAAATTGGCTGATTATTTTTTTGAGTCCCGAAAGGTCAGAGAATATAGGACTCTTAATACATTTGACCAAAGCAAAGCTCACGTGATGCTCCAGAAAAATATCTCCAAATAGATCTCGGAATCTTTCTTACAAGTCTGCAAAATATAGAATGCTTTTTAACAGCAGGTAGAATGTTTTATTTAAATACTTTCATTCTGCAGTCATTATAGATTCATCATAGACATAAAACTTCTTCTCAGCATGTTTAACGACTTAGCTGTCACTAAAATAGTATAAAACAGTCCTAGAACCAGACTCCACAGGAGGACGGACAGGTTTATATTGAAACAACAATATATTATCATTGGGCAATGGAAATGATTCTGTTTGTAAATCAGACATTCTTATTTTCGCTGTTTCTACCAGATAACAAGGACGTGTCAGTGATGATGAGTGAAATGGATGTGAATGCTATCGCTGGGACATTGAAGCTGTACTTCAGGGAGCTGCCAGAGCCGCTGTTCACCGATGAACTCTACCCCAACTTCGCAGGCGGCATCAGTGAGCTACTTCCATTTCCATTAATGACATGTTTAACAGTTACATCAACACAATAAAACCAATTACCCGGGAAAAAAAAACAACAACTGTACATTAAAGACCTTATGCCGGGTTTAAAAAAAAAAAATTGTGGATATCAAAATTGCATGACAATGTCGATCTGAAATAGATTCTGACCAAAAAAATCCTATATTTTATAAAAAGAACGTGTTTTTCATGAATTTAAGTTGTCTATGCTCTAACCTGTGTGTGACGTCACAGCGGGTTACGTCCATGCATTGAAAACCATGGATCTATGCCACAGGACTGCCTTTTCTCTCTTCTCTCCACTGATGCCCAACACAATACTGCCCTCTACAGGTGACAATTGAAAATGTGTCTGAGGTGTACACGGCCTTGTCATCTTGAATATCCGCGAAAAAAGAACGAATACCAAATTGTAAACAACTTACAGTGTTGAAACGTACCCACTCTGACGTCACCAAGGGCTGTGAAGTTTTTTCGTCTCTAAGGGCGTTGCTATGGGGTTATTTCGATTTGGGGGGATCAGACAAAAAAAACAACAACTGATTTTGAAACCTTTAGTAGTTCTCTTCTAATATAAAATGGTATTAAAACTGTATTTCTAAATAAATCAAACCCGGCATAAGGTCTTTAAGTTTTAAACCAACAATCAAAGCTTCTTAGAAAGTTAAAGTGTGTGAAGGATGAATAAACAACATTGTCTTTCTACAGCGCTCACGGACAGCGTTGCCAAAGAGAGCTGTATGCTGAACCTGCTGCTATCACTGCCAGAGCCCAACCTCGTCACATTCCTTTTCCTATTGGATCACCTCAAAAGGTTAGAAAGACTTCTTATCTTGTGTTATCTTCATCAGAATTTGAGAGATGTTGAAGCTGGGGTTCTTTTAAAAACCACAAATCAATTGGACTATATAATACAAACCCATCTAATTACGAACAAAGGATCTCTTATCCGGTCTTAAAACTATTTGGTTCTTGGTTCACTATTTTTCACATTTTGGCCACTTGACACGTCCTTCTTTTGACCATCCTTGTCAAATAGTGACTTTCTTAAGCCACCAAGGCAAGGATCACCGTAAGTCCTTGCGTAGCCACCCCTGCTCCCTCAGAAAATTCTAACTACACAGCCTGGCGACGCAGAGAAGCTCCATTGTGATTGGTCCGTGTGTGATTACTTTTTGAATGGAAGCTTGGAGCGGCTGCGGGAACATGAACGAGGCACTTTGGCGCCGAGCGAGTACACACTGGCCTTTTACAAGTATCATGGCTTGTGTTCTAAGATTTAAGACGGCATGTTGTGGTCAGATTTGTTCACAACATTTAACTCTTCAAGATTCTTTCTGTTGGAACAAACTAAATACGTTCATTCATTCATTTTCATCCCTTTATTATCCATTTCTGGGGAGGTGGCAATCAGATCTGCCACCCAATTCACAAAGCATGAGGCCCTCGCTGATGCTCCTGCAGGGGGTGGGTCCACAGGAAGATGGCTTCTCCTTCAACGCAGATACAGCCTTGATCTTTCAGCGGGGACTTCAGGCAAAGTGGGGTTGAGTGTCTTGCCCACGGACACAATGATAGCAGAGATCAGTGGGAGCAGGTGACATGGGTCGTGGTGGGACTGAACCATGGATCATTAGACCCAAAGACCAATGTTCTGCCATCTGAGCCGCTGTTGCCAACACCACCAACTAAATGGATTTTTAGTTGAAGTTGACGTAGATTTAGAACAAGAACCCTATATGCCCGCGTGCATCGGCGCCGATGCACGCGCACATGTTTTACAAATGATCAATTTACTCGCGAACGGTAAAACGTAGCAACTTACTTTTTTTTCCTCTGTGAAGTACGTATTCAGGGCTTTCCGAAACTAGTTTTGATTTGTCTGTGCGATGCACGTAGGATAAACTACGTTTGTCTGAAAGTCTGTGTCCAAAGCGTGACCCGTGAGATACAAACAGCTGTGAGATACAAACACACGGGGACTGCCAAAGATCGTCAGAGAGTGCGATGTCTCACTCCTCTGCGTTTACTTGTTCTCCCACAGTTGAAACTACAGCTGCGATTGCAATAACCGGCTGAAGAGTGCGGATTATTGATAAAGACGATAATAAATACAGTAAAATGACATTATGTGTATATGATGTATATAAATATATGTATTATATAAATAATTGATGTATTTTTTTTTTTTTGGCTCAGTTTCTTATGTTTTACGTTTTTTACAGCTGTGCTACAGAAGCAACCCCAGCATTATAGACAAACTGCTTCAGGAAGGGCATCAGGAGTACAGAGTTTTTTGCTTTTATAGTGGAATTTTGTAAAAAGTATAATAGTTAGAGATTCAATTTTTTTCCCCATTATCCCCAAGACCATAAATAACATTTCTATGCAGTGTAAAAAGTTGTTTATAGCATTTCATTGTGTTTTTTCAATACATTTTTGTTAAATTGATTTTCCGTTTGATTTTTTTCTTTGTCTTTATGATTCCATAATGTTTATATAATTCATATGACAGCTTTACAATATGAATATTCTAAAACCCCAGGTTGTACTGAAAAAAACAAAGTATACTGCTTGACTCTGCATCAAAAGATGACTGTTTTATGAACAATTATACACAAAGAAAACCAGGCGAGGAAAGTTCCCCAAAATGACCTAGTGCATAGAGGGTTAACAAATGAACTTGAAAGTGAAGTGTAATTACTCCGTGGTTGTTTCATCTTCAGGGTGGCAGAGAAGGAGAGCGTCAACAAGATGTCCCTCCACAACCTGGCTACAGTGTTTGGGCCGACCTTACTGAGGCCGTCAGAGAAGGACAGTAAGATCCCTGCCAACCCCACGCAGCCAATCAGCATGGGTGACAGCTGGTCCCAAGAAGTCATGTCACAGGTCAGACACGGCCCCATGGGTGTTTACGTTGGCATATGTTCTACACGGCAGTCAAATTGCACTGTTTTGGTCTGTTCATGGTCCTTCTAACTGCATGTAATATTTCATTTTCATTATATATTTGAGAAATTCTATAAAAACATACACCGATATAGATTGTATAGATTCAAAGTGAGGCTTGAAAGTAAAAATGAATCCTGTTAAAAGATTCTAAAGTAATGCTCTGTGAATGTCTCCTCAGGTCCAGGTGCTGCTGTACTTCCTGCAGCTGGAGACCATCCCCACTCCGGACAGTAAACGGCAGAGCATCCTCTTCTCCACAGAAGTATAAAACTGTAAATAAAGACACTGGCTCAAAGTGAGCCGACTGTAGGATGTTTTCAATTGACTCAAGACTCTTGTTTGGCCCCTGGGGGAATCCCTGGAGCGGCCCCAGGAGCAGGAGACCAGTGTTTGGTCCTTGACGTTTATATCTTGTTACAGCAGTGGATGCGCTCTCATCTTCAGCTACATCTTAACTTTAAATCTGGAATGGTCCAAACCAAAGACCACACCAAGACTCTGTTCTCACGACCATTAAACTGTTCATCTTTTTTACTTTTGGACAATCATCAGTGAAAGTCAATGTTAGTAATTTATCTCCCAGTCATGTCTCAATTTACAAATGTAGAGTTTGTTATGTCATGTCTGCAGTTTTTCTGTAGACATTTAAAGTAGTCTGCACAGGACTTGCTGCATTTTTGGACTTTTCTTATTTGTGTCTAGAAAACCGCAGGAACCCAACACCTGTACGCCCAAGTGTTTACTACACAACGCTGTCTGAGTAGAACTAAAAACCTGCTGCACACTGCACTGGGATTCCTCACAGATGTCACACTTAAAGGAAACCGTTTGTCTTGTGTCATGTTAATGTCTTACAATAGTCTGCAGTTTAAATAACCAGGAAGCAATATATTTTCTAACATAGAAAGGTCTGTGTGGATTCAATCCTTTTTCTGTAACATAGGACGTCTTGCCAAAATGAGTTACTTGGGTAGTAACAAAATGTGTATTTACAGATACAGTATGTAGATAAACTTAAAGTTGAATTTACATTTGTTTTAATCATTGTTATTAATATAACTTATTTTAGGGTCCTATATAGTAAATTATTATTTGTGTTTTTGGGGTTGGATTCATAAATAGTAGATTTTAGCCTTGACTTGGCTGTAAAAAGCAGGATTAAGCCTTTCTATTGACAAACTGCTCCAGCCTCTAGATTTTGATGACTGATAGTAACATGCACTTATAGTGTGTGCTGCGGTGGAAAAGGCACAAGCTGTGTAGCAAATGGATGTGTTTCACGTCCAGAGAACTCCATAGTTTAGACATTATGCAATGTCATGATACAGCACACACATATTGTATTGTTTTAGTTTCTGTGGTGAAAGCAGAAGTGCACTCTGTGATGTTCAAACTACTGTTTTACAATTCAAGTGACCTGAGCGCGTAAGTCTGCCCATTGTGGAGCCATTATTGAGTGAATGAAGGAAGATTATGTTCTGTCTTTGTCTTTTTAAGGCTTTCTCTCGCTGAAGGTGCCCAATTTTTTTGGCCAAAATCTTGTTTTTTTTTCTTTGTAACATGCAGGCATGTTTTTTTTATGTTTTCACAAAAGTGATTACCACTTAAGTCTTAAATTATACATACACAAGAGCTCTCCATTTCTGAAGCATTTGTTTTATCTAAAGCACAGTGAAAAGTGTCTTGGGGTCATCTCATGTGCTAGTCAGTATAAGGGCTTAGTCCATCACACGACCAAGACTGAGACATATCAAAGATTTTAAAGGTTTTTTAAAACATCAATGCACACAATTATTATTCTGTGTCACTGAGGCTTGTGCATCGTATTTCATAGGCCAAAGTTAAACAAAATGACATCAAAACAACTGTCTTACACATTGTTGTCACTTGTTCGCAAATGTTCCTTTGTTCCAAGCCCTGTTGCCTACACTACAGTGTCCTTTTGTGCCTCTACACTTTTGCTTTTGCGCCTGTGACACATGAGAGGTCAATGGATTTCTTGACAATTACAACCACGGTACTAGTCTATTGTTGCCTTTGCCACTATTCATTGTCTACTGGCTAAGACAGGACCTGGAACTTAGCATAGTCTTAGCTCGTACTGTCCTCAGCGGAGAGTAACGCTGTGCTCTTAAAATGCATTACTTTCTGTTCTTTTGTGTTTGTTTGTGTTGATGCAGTTTTGTAAAGAAACTACTGTATTTATTATAATGTAATCAATGAAAGTAAATTATTGTTAGGGATATTATGTTTGGGTCATTTTATCATGTTAATATTGTTACTGCAAAAAAAAAACAATAATCAAAGACAAATGTGTAAACCTCCAGCCCGTACCACAATGCACTGGCCACTGTGAATGTTGGATTCAGTCAAGGTCTATTCAGAAGTCGCTTCTATTTTCCATAGATTTGTAAAATATGTATTATAAAAGTGCATAATTTGGAATCCATTCTATTTATGGCATTTGCTGATTGTTGAGGGTGGAATTGACAAACTCAAGTGAAATTGAATAAAGTCAGTAGTTGCTGGTAGAGGAGACAGTCAAATTGCATTGTTTTGGTCTGTTGATTGTCTGTGTAACTGCATGTACCTTCCATAAGATCCCACAATATTCACAATCCTGACATAATTTAATGTTTTAGCAAAAAGAAACAAAAACCCATATGATGAACTTTGCTTCATTATCTATTAAAAGTATAGTATTCTTTCTGGGCTTCTACACAACTTGAAATATTTGCTAAGAACAGTTCTTTCAGTACAAGCTGCAGTTCACCTCTTCCTCTGACTTTGGTTACAAGAGTCTTCTGCAAGAACTGTAAAAATAAAAGACTTTGGAAGGCAGTTGCAGCCTTTGTTTGTACACAACATGTTAAATAAAAACCTTCTGTATCTGCACTTTGCTTCTTTGGACTTTTTTCCACTTAGAATGTTGTTCATAAGTTCATTTTTTTCTGTAATTCAACAGAAACCAATACATGACGTTGACCCATACATGCAGAGTGACATCTTCCGTACCCTTTGCGAAGGAGTGGGATACTCTGGTGCAGGGGTCTCCAACCTGTGGCTCGAGAGCTACTGGTAGCTCGCCAAAGGATTTAGAATTTAACAAATGATCTTTAATGAATCCAGTTCGAGTCATTACATAGGCAAGGCAAGGCAAGTTTATTTGTATAGCACAATTCATACACAAGGCAATTCAAAGTGCTGAACAGAACAAGAAAGCATTAAAATCATAAATAATCACAGTACATTAAAAAAAAAAAGATAAAAATATAAAATCCCTCAGTTGTATGCACAGCTAAACAGAACTGTTTTCAACCTGGTTTTAAACATTGTCAGAGAGGAGGCCTGTCTCACATCTTAAGGAAGACTGTTCCAGATTTTAGCAGCATGAATCTGAAAAGCAGCCTCCCCATGTTTAGTTCTGACTCTGGGCACTAACAGGAGTCCAGTCCCTGTGCTCCTCAGAGTCCGGGCTGGTTCATATGGGACTAACATGTCACTAATATATTTCGGTGCGAGGCTATGGAGAGATTTGTACACAAGCAGAGCTGTTTTAAAGTCTATTCTCTGAGCCACAGGAAGCCAGTGCAGGGACCTGAGGACCGGACTAATGTGGTCGTACTTCCTGGTTCTAGTCAGGACTGGAGCTGCTGCATTTTGAATGTACTGCAGCTGTTTTACAGCCTGTTTGGACAGACCTGTGAGCAGGCCATTGCAGTAGTCTATCCTACTGGAGACAAATGCATGGATAAGAATCTCCAGGTCTGCTTTAGACACTATGTTTTTGACAATCTGGCAATGTTTTTAGATGGTAAAAAGCTGCTGATGTTACTGATTTGATGTGGCTATTAAAATTTAAGTCTGAGTCCAGTATTACCCCTAGATTTCTGACCTTGTTTGAAGGTTTTAGGGAGAGAGACTGTAGGTGACAGATGACGCTCTCTCTTTGTTTCTGGGGACCAAAGACAATCATTTCAGTTTTGTCTGCGTTTAGCTGAAGGAAGTTGTTTTGCATCCACTCACTGATCTGTTGGATACAGTGAAGGAGTGAGTCCACTGGTCCATGTTCTCCTGCAGTCAGTGAGACATAGATCTGAGTGTCGTCTGCATAGTTATGATAGGAAACTTCGTTTCTGCGTATTAACTGACCTAACGGCAGCATGTAGAGATTGAACAGAAGAGGTCCCAGGATCGACCCCTGTGGTACTCCACAGGTCAGGGCCATATGATCTGAGACACAGTTTCCAATCTCCACAAAGTACTTCCTGTCTTCAAGGTAAGACCTAAACCAACTTAGGGCGGTGCCAGTGACGCCAACCCAGTCCTCTAGTCTCTGTAAGAGGATCTCATGGTCGACGGTGTCAAAGGCAGCACTCAGATCTAACAAGATTAAGATTGAGACTTTGCCTGCGTCAGTGTTCAGCCGGATATCGTTTGTAACCTTGACAAGAGCAGTCTCAGTGCTGTGGTGGGGTCTAAAGCCGGACTGAAACATATCAAATGAGTTGTTAATTATAAGAAATCTAGTAAGCTGTAGGTAGACAACTTTTTCAAGGACTTTCCCCATAAATGGCAGATTTGAGATGGGACGATAGTTGTTAAGTACCGTAGCATCCAGGCTGCTCTTTTTTAGCAGGGGCTTGATGACTGCAGTTTTCAGGGCCTTTGGGAATATTCCAGAATTAAGGGACATGTTTACTATCTGTGTGAGTGAAGGTAACAGACTGCTCAGAACAGACTTCAGAAATCTAGTGGGTAGTACATCCAGGCTGCATGTGGAGGAGCTCAAACTGGAGATTATTTCTTGGACATTTTTATCATCTACAGGTGCAAAGTAAGTTAGCTCAGAGAGCCTTTCTGGCTGTTGGATGGTTATCTGTGGATTGGAGACAATGGCGTTTTTGATGCCTTGAACCTTGTCATTGAAAAAGTGTGCAAACTCATTGCATTTACGTTTGGAAGTTAGCTCTAATGGCATCTGAACAGGGGGGTTTGTTAATCTATTAACTGTTGAAAACAGAACACGCAGATTGTTACTGCAGCCTTCAATCATTTCAGAAAAATACCTTTCTCTCGTACTACGTAGCACCCGGTTAAACTCGCACAACTTATCTTTGAAGATCTCGTAATCAACCTGGAGGTTGGACTTGCGCCACTTCCGCTCGGCCCTCCGGCACTTTCTCTTTTGTGCCCTGACCGAGTCTGCTTTAGCCCACGGCGCCTTCTGCTTATTTTTCACTATTTTAACCTTCACAGGGGCAACGG